GCATATAACTTATAAAAAATAATAAAAAATAAATAATACGTTGTAATTTAAATTTTAAAGTATTATATATTAATAAACATCATACTTCAATAAGTTGGTTTTACAAGATTTTTATTAATTATTTTATATATACATATAGGTGAAGGATCGTGTGAGAAGAATGGTAAGGGTGAAAAGCGTAAGAAGAGATCTGAACCCTTGATCACCTTTAATCTCAAAACCACTTATGAATTGTGCTTGATACAAGGATTGATTCGGTGCATCTTATTCTAATGTGCATCTATGGGTGGAAATCTCTTCTTACGCCTCTCACCTTATCTCTCATTCTCACTGGAACCAACCCTACACATACACACACACACACATACACGCACACGCACACACATGCACACATACATACACACATATAGAGAGCATTTCAATTGCAACCATCTCTATTGTTACAACCAAATCATGACCACCCATTTTTTTATTTTCTATTTTCTTTTTATTAAACAGAAAATATGTTGGTCTTTATAAGGTTCTATATAATTTATTATTTTTGAATCTTTAAACTTCTTTAATGTTGATCGGAACTTTCCTTATGCGGATTGTATTCATGATTTTGTTTCCTCTTTTTAGTTAAAATCGTTCGGCATGCAGGGATTTGGATGTGTGTTTAATCCATATTTCATTTTTTTTTTCTTTTTGGTTTCTAGGGTTAAGAGTATTTTTTCTAGTAGTTTTTTCTTCTCTATGGATCCATCGTTTGTGAATGAAGTGTACGTTAATGATTAATGATGTTTTTAGATCAGGAGATGAGTTATTTGATTCCATGAATGGAACTCATGTTGATTTCAAACGGTATCAAAATCTCGTAAGTGGTATCAATGAAACTCATTTGGAAGAACACGACTTGTTTTCAGTTAGAGAACAACGAAAATGGTGCATGCTTAATTATGATTAAGAATGTACTGTTTTTTTGGTTTGTTTGTTTGTTTTTTTTATCCAAAAGTTTCATCATAAACAATAATGAATAATGAAAACATTTCAGCAGGAACGAATGGTGCAACACCATACATGGAAACAAACGAAGTGAAGCTGAACGTTTCTTCAATATGGCCACAAATAACAGTGCAACACTAGTCATAGAAATAGTGAGAATGATTTAAAAAATTTCATGAAATGGATACACTATTTCATATGCTACAAGATTTCAAAGAACAATGTAACACCCTCAAAGCAATGAGTTAGCCCAATAAACTCGAATCCAACTTAAAACCATGGTGGAAGTTATTGGTAGCCCACTACTTGAGACTTATAATGAGACTTATAAGGAGCTAACAATTTTCACCTTCTATCCATGTGAGACGAGTTGTTACAAACTCTCCACTTAAACTCCTGACGTCCTCGTTCGTCAGGCCTATCCAGAATCTTCCTCATTGTCATCGGCAATGTGAAATTCGTCCAAGATGTTACAAACACCCCCTCTCGAAGACTCATCATATCCGATGAAGGTTACCCTACCATCCCGATGGTACAAAGATCGATTCTGATACCAACTTGTAACACCCTCAAAGCCCAAGGCAATAGACTTGTCCAATAAATTCGAATCCAACTTAAAACCATGGTAAAAAATTATTGGTAGCCCACTACTTGAGACTTGTAAGGAGCTAACAATTTGCACCTTCTATTTACGTGGGACGAGTTGTTACAAACAAGATTTTGAAAAAGAAGATAAAGGAGCTCAAAGATGAATGCTCGTGGAAGGCTGGGGAACGATGTGCTGATGTATAATCTTGTTGAAACAGTCTCAAAATGTATATAAGGGCTAAAAGGTAGGTTGATGTTCAATCATATGTGGGTGGTCTTAGGGTATGGCTGAACACAGGTGTCTATGGCTTTTGATCATATGGTATGATTTTTGTCGGTATGGTTGAAGGTGTTGATGTTCTTAACGAAGTTGTTAATACAATAAGTTATGGTTTCATATATTTTGTTGTATGAAGTTGATGTAGGCCTTAATGAAGTTGTTAATATAAAAAAACTACGGTTTCATATATTGTTCTTGATTTATCGTTGTACACCGGCTGTTTATATATGAACGTCAGCATAATAAGTGTCAATATTTAAAAAGACTATATTATCCCTAACTTAATTGAGTTCTTTCAATTTTGATAGCTTCATGGATAAAAAGAGAAATAAAATTGAAACTACAATGACTAAAAAAACAATTTTTAAAACCCAAAAATAACAATAATTATAAAATGGAAACATAGAATATAATATAAATAATTATATAAAAATAAAATGGAAACATAAAATATAATATAAATATCCTGGAGTACACGTTACCTATTTACTTAGACATGGGAATTGGGAGTAGAATCTTCACTTTCTGTTTCATGTCTCTGTATTTCATTTTCAATATATTATATTATATTATATTATTATTCTCTTATTAAAAATAAAAACAAAATTAATATTTATTTTTATTTTTTATTTATTATTTATTATTTTCAAAACCTTTTGTTTTATTCAAGGAGAAATATCATGTGCCGGCGTTGCATCATTCATTTTCATATGGCCCGCCCCCATCCACACCTGCCACCAACCCTACTTGTCCCATTTTTTGTTCCAACTATTTATTTCCGACTTTTACTTTTTTTTTAATTTTTATTTCCCTAACTCTTACTTTAAAAACATATATTTAGATATAATTTTTTTTCCTAATAATTAGTTAAAATTTGTTCAAATTACAGAACATATATATATATATATATATATATATATTTGTAGGTAAATTGCATGAGAAAGTAACGTACTTTAACTTGATTCTTATTTTGGATAACGTATTTTAAATATTTAAGTACTCGGTTGAAGAATTAACCGGTTACTATGTTGATGTGGCGAATAATGCGATATCTGGTTAATAGTTAAGCAAATAATACTGAGTTGGATATCACATCACTCGTGACATCAACATGATAACCGGTTAATGTTTCAACCAGTCATCTGGATACTTAAATGTTTAAAACTTTACATCTTAGATATCAAAATAGAATTTTTGAAAGTACATACTTCTGAAAGGTGTTCTATTTGCTCGTAGCTCTCGTTTGATACCGGATAAAGCAAATCTTGGTTTTCGTTTTCCTTGTGATGGGCTTGGACAATTACAACTCTGACTACTTCTGATCTTTCTAGAGGCATGTTTGGGCCTAGCGATGAAAGCTTTCAAATAAACCTAATAGTGTTAAGGGGGGTTGTCTGATTCTTTATGTGATGCCTTTATTTGATCCCGAAGTGTCTAACTCACTTCCTTTTTTGTTTATTAGTTTCGAGAATATCCCCATTCAACAAAATCCGTTCGGATCAGACCAGTATGAGTGAGATTGGTTTGACCTCTCGCTCGAAATTAACCCGCCATAAGGAAACAAGTTAAAGTACGTCATTTTTTCATATAATTTATCATATATTTTTTCTTCGAAATGTTATCTTTAGAGATAATATTATTCAAACTTATTTTGATCTGTTAAATTAATATCTATAAAGTATTATAATAAAATTTGTTCTGATCGAATAAATAATCATTGTCAAAATACGATATAAAAAAAACTTAAATTAGTTTTTTTAATAATTTTTAAATTAGGTTTCTAAGCTTGTTATATTTATTTCTTTGAAGTTGATTTAGATTTGAACGTTAATGAGGAATTTGTTTCTTAAATGGTAATGATATGAAACCTAAATTTGAGAATAACTACAATATTGATTTGACATTTATTTTAAAACAAATATTTAATTAATTAATTTGTAATCATGAAAGAATATATTATTATTTTTAATTTTAAAACAGCTTAAAATTATATTTAATGAAAAGAGAGTATTTATTAGAACGGTCATAAAATTATGATACAGAATTACAAACACTCGCCGTCATCAAACGCTCCATTAACGGCCATAATATTTTGAAGTTCCTTTCCTTCCTCACCTCACTCTCTCATCTCTCTCTCTCTCTCTTTTACTCTGTGTGTGTGTGTTTTCACCTTAAAACTTCACCATTTCAACAAATCGGTTCTCGACGCTGAATCGTTTTGTTCAGTCCGCAACATTTTGGAGCAGTCAACGGCCGGCGATTGCAGGTTTCGCGCTTTGCTTATAAAATTTCGGCTTAATTTATTGTTTTAATGGCTTGTTTCGATCGAGAACTGATTTAAGTCAATGCGGTTCAATCGGACCAAATCAGCCAACGTTTCTGTAATAATGCGCTTTAAATCCTATGTTTTTTGCTTCAACTAATTAATGTTTTCCTGGCAAAGAACAGTTCCAGATTTGGATTGAGTTGACTCGGTGAGTTCAACGACTAAACTCGTTATACTCTGAAACACTTAACAGCCGGCGATTAGAGGTATATGCTCATTGATTTTTAAGCCTATTATAATCTTAAGTTAGTTGGGCTCTTTACCAGGTTATTGTTAACGTGACAGTACAAGAATCTGTACGAGGACATTGCTCTTATTGATTTTTCTTTCCGCATAGCGTGTGATTCGTAATACGCTTCTGTTAAAGTCTGATTTTGGGCATAAATTGGATTTTTCTGATTAGAATTGATTGAACCATTGAGTCAAAGTCAGCCAGACTCGTGATTTGAGCGAATACATCTTTGGCTATGGAGAGAAGAGGAAATGGGGTTCCGAGCTCACCCTCAAACACGCCAAGATCCATTGACAAGGTGGTAAGAGATGTTCGACCAGGAGAAGGAAATATAAGTGGTAAACATGATAGAGAAAAAGGCGTGAACGTTCAAGTGATTGTGCGATGCAGGTCTGTACAAAATTTGACTGAAGCATGGATGAGATTGGATTTCTGATTGTTTTTACAAAAATTAATCGAATGATGTGTTTCCTATTGTGTAGACCGTTGAATGATGATGAGACAAAATCGCACACGCCAGTGGTGATTACATGTACTGAGAACAGGAAAGAAGTTTGTGCAATTCAGAATATAGCTAACAAGCAGATTGATAGATCATTCGTATTTGACAAGGTGATTCTCTTGTTTTAATATCATTCATGCTTAGATGAATCCATGATCTTTTTTCTAGTTGCAAGGGAATGGCCTTATCAATTGCTCTAAGATGCCCCCTTTATGTATATCATATATATAGGTATTTAAATTGGGGGAAAGTCGGGTCACAGACTTATGTTATAACTATCTTTAGGTAGTTTGTAAACTAGTATGCATTTCCCCATTAGGGTCGGTAACTAGTGCCTTGTCGGATAAATAAGATATGAATGGTGAAATGTTCCATAAATCTATACTCTACGTGTAGACCTGTAGTTTGTGTGATACTCATGAGATGATGAGAGTCCATCGATTACAGCTGCTATTCTATAAGGCTATAAAGCCCATGAGGTTGCAGACTGGTAAGTGTTTCTAGCAATTTAGAACTGTATGCTGTTACTTAAAAGGACAGGTTAAAAATTATTTTCTTGTTATGTGCTTTACAAACATTGTTAATATTATCTAGTTTTTAGTACTCTGCAGAGTCTGTTAACTACAGCTGCTATACTCATGAGGTCCTGGTAAATCTTTATAGCAATTTTGAACTGTATACCACTCATGAAGCATATCCACTATATGACATAAATTATCGTTCTAAAAGTGTCTTTCCCAGCATTAAAAGGATTGGGACCCTACTTAAGGTGATGAAGGCTCAATGTAGACACTTTTGCTAATACCATCGGATTTAGGATGTACCTAGTGAATGCATCATGAGCAGGGAATTAATATTTCTAAAGATATCACAACCTCTGAACCATATATTTGAAAAGAACCCCTAGCATAATGTCTCAAGAAACAACTGGATTTCATTATCTTTTCTATATTTTTATTGAACAAGAAATGTCTCTGATAGTGTTTCGAAGAGCTAATGTGGAATAATATCTATAGGTCTTCGGTCCGAACTCGCAACAAAGGGAATTGTATCACGCAGCTGTCTCTCCCATAGTTTTTGAAGTTCTTGAGGGGTACAATTGCACTATATTTGCTTATGGCCAGACAGGAACTGGGAAAACATACACAATGGAGGGAGGAGGGAGGAAAAGGGTATAAATTTTTTGTTCCATAGCAAAACGAAATATACAACCTTATTTTTTTTGGCTTTTACTGAACCTAGCAACCTTGTATACTGTTTAGAATGGAGAATTCCCAAGTGATGCAGGTGTTATTCCCAGAGCTGTACGGCAGATATTTGATATTTTAGAAGCTCAAAGTGCAGAGTACAATATGAAAGTTACATTCTTAGAGCTTTACAATGAGGAGATAACGGATCTTTTAGCTCTTGAGGAATCTTCAAAATTTCCGGAAGACAAATCAAAAAAACCCATAGCCCTCATGGAGGACGGAAAGGGAGGCGTACTTGTAAGAGGCTTGGAAGAGGAGATAGTTTCCACCGCAGATGAAATTTACAAAATCTTAGAGAAAGGATCTGCTAAAAGGCGTACTGCAGAGACCCTTCTGAATAAACAAAGTAGTCGTTCTCATTCAATATTTTCTATCACAATTCACATTAAGGAACGTACACCAGAAGGCGAAGAGATTATTAGATGTGGCAAGCTCAATCTTGTTGATCTTGCTGGTTCAGAGAATATTTCGAGGTCTGGTGCCAGAGAGGTAAACAAAAACTTGACAACTTTATTTTTTTTTGTAATTGTAACTGCTGACAAATACATCACATCTGTTGAATTATTAGAATACCACATGCTTGCATGTAAGAAGTACCAAGCCTGTGCAAGCTCCATTTGTATCAATCACCCCTAGTTATGCATTGCCTTCCATCTGTCTTTTTTTCTTTCTGTTGAAGAGGAATTTACATAATGAGATGTTGCATATGTGCCATTTTAGGTGGTCAAATTATAAATGTACATGAGAAGATTCTAGAGGATATCTTGTGTCATGATATCTCTTCAATCCTTATGAATCCTTACTGCTGCAGGGAAGAGCAAGGGAAGCTGGTGAGATAAACAAGAGCTTGCTTACACTTGGCCGAGTCATAAATACATTAGTTGAGCACTCAGGGCATATACCTTATAGGTATTATTCAATTGGCTATAATATGCTAACAGCCGACAAACTATATGAATTAAAGAAAACTAAATGAACTGCATAAATATTTGTTGTTAATGACAGGGATAGTAAATTAACAAGGCTGTTGAGGGATTCCTTGGGAGGGAAAACAAAGACATGCATAATTGCCACCATCTCCCCCTCTATCCATTCTTTGGAGGAGACACTCAGCACTTTAGACTATGCACACCGAGCAAAAAATATCAAGAACAAACCGGAGGTCAGCACTGTGGAGTTTAGTTGTCTAATCATAGAAAAGTTCGTCCTCCTTTTAGCCAGTTTTGATCTTCTATCTTCATGATATTTCAGATTAATCAGAAGATGATGAAATCTGCAATGATGAAAGACCTGTACTCTGAAATTGAACGGCTCAAGCAAGGTTTGAGTCCTCTGCCCTTCCCTATCTACTCTCCCATTAGGTGAATCCATATTTTACACTCTTACATGCTATGACTTTTGCATGACCAGAGGTCTACGCTACAAGAGAGAAGAATGGAATCTACATACCAAAAGACAGATATCTACAGGAAGAAGAGGAGAAGAAGGTACACTCCTTCAGTCATGGTCTTTACAGATTACACCCTATCAATTTGCTATAACGGGGATCACAAGTAGCTACCAATACTGAAGTTCTTGCATTTTTTTTGTTTTTGTTTTTTGATTCCTTTCTCCAGGCAATGGCTGAAAAAATAGAGCGAATGGAACTTGATGTTGAGTCAAGGGGCAAGGTAGAATCAATACATAGAATTGCCACTGTTCTCCATTTTTTGTCAAAAAAACAAGACTAATGCTTGTATGTAAACAGCAATTTATGGAGCTTCAGGAGCTTTATAATTCTCAACAGCTGGTGAATGCAAATTTAAGTGGGAAGCTTGAGAGGACAGAGGTATTATGATGTTATTTGATTTCTTCTGTCCATGATAGTTATCGAAGACATCAAAATTCCATTTTCTTGGCATGAAATAATCATTAACTTATTCCTTTAGATAAAACTCCAAGAAACTGAACATTCCTTGTTGGATCTTGAAGAAAGGCATAGACAAGCAAATATAACAATCAAAGAGAAAGAATTTCTTATCTACAACCTTCTCAAGTCTGGTAAGTCATGTTTCAAAATTTCTTTGCTATTTATCTGAAGTTGCTGAATAAGCATGCATCTGAACAGAATCCTACATCTTCATCAAATAACGAACTCATTTCATTGTAATTTTCTAATGGTTATCAGAAAAAGCTCTTGTTGAGCGGGCATTTGACCTTCGAGCGGAGCTTGAGAATGCTTCATCTGACGTGTCTAGTCTGTTCACCAAGATTGGTATGTACCACCAAAACCAAATACATGTTTCAGATTTGGGCAGAAACAATCCTAATTTCTATAACATGTTTGTTGTTTCAGAGCGCAAGGATAAAATAGAAGATGGAAACAGAATTCTTGTCCAGCAATTCCAATCTCAATTAACCAAACAGCTTGACATCTTGCATAAGAGTGTAGCAGCTTCTGTGACGCAACAAGAGCAACAACTGAAAGGCATGGAGGAAGATATGCAATCATTTGTATCAACCAAGGGTCAGGTATGATTTAGGCAGAAAATATTTTGCTAGCCTCAAAGACATACTAAGAAATGGATATGCAACTTTTTTTTGTGGGGCACAGGCTACTGCAGAACTCCAAGCTGGTTTAGAGAAGTTGCAAACATTGTATGGTTCTGGTATTAAAGCTCTGGATAATCTAGCGAATGAACTTGATGGAAATTCACAATCAACACTTGGACATCTTAATTCTCAAGTCTCCCAAAATTCTTCTGCTCTTGGGGATGTATGTTCTGATTTTGATTTAAGAATTCTCTCAAAGTTTGTATTGGTAATGCTCTTGGGGATGTATGTTCTGACCCCCACAAATTCAATGCAGCTTTTCAAGGGTATTGCATCAGAAGCTGAGGAACTACTCAATGATCTTCAAGGCATTCTCCATAGCCAAGAAAACAAACTAGCCACATATGCACAAGAACAAAGGGAGGTTAGATTTTGTTAACTAGCATGATGAAAGGAGTTCTTTTCGATGCGTAGCTATTTCAATTCCATTTCCTAAGATATATAAACTCACACATCGCTTTTCCAATTCTATGCAGGCACATGCTAGAGCTGTTGAAACCTCGCGGTCAATTTCCAACATTACCACAAACTTTTTCGTTACCCTAGACATGCATGCAACCAAATTGACACAAATTATTGAAGAGGGCCAGACTGTCAATGACCAAAAATTATCTGAACTTGAAAAGAAGTTCGAGGTAATGGATATCTTTTGGCATTGCTCTCTTGTAGAAAAATGCCTTGGTTTCTCATTTCTATATGTTCAGGAGTGTGCTGCCAATGAAGAAAGACAACTACTAGAGAAAGTTGCAGAACTGCTTGCAGTTTCAAATGCTAGGAAGAAAGAACTGGTATGGGCCTTATACACGATAAATTTATGTTGCTTTGTTCATTTTTGTTTCAGTATCTAAAGATCAATGAACTTATGTTTTCTGGTATTACTTTGACCATATTATAGGTTACAACAGCAGTAAATGGTCTACGAGAAAGTGCAGTTAGTAGAACCAACAGATTCCAGCAAGAAATGTCAACCATGAAAGAATCAAGCTCTTCTGTGAGAGTTGAATGGAAAAATTACACTATAAAAGCTGAAGCCCACTACCTTGAGGATACAGCTGCAGTTGAAAATGGAAAGAAAAATCTGGATGATGTTCTTCATAATTGGTGGGTGCCCGTGTTGCCCAAATTCTTATTCTTTAAAACTTATTATCAATTTTTTGCTGGTCAGTTTTCATTTACCTTGCATGAACATCTTGCAGTTTGCAAAAGGTGCAGATGGGATCACAACAATGGAGTAGTGCTCAGGAATCTTTGCTCAGTTTAGAGAAGAACAATGTGGCTTCTGTGGATGAAATAGTTAGGTAAGTCCATGCATGAAGAAAATGAACTACTATGAGAGGTCTTCTTGAAGCATTTATATTCATTAATCCTTATACGCCTTTTGACCATTCTTTTAGGGGAGGACTAGAAGCCAATCAAAATTTGCGTTCCCAGTACTCGGTCGCAGCATCATTGGCACTTAATGATACAAATGTTGCTAGCAGTAACCTCCTTTCCTCCATTGACCGTGAGTATTTTTAGTTGTGGAGCTTCAATGATTTATTTCATCTTTTCAAGGTCATTGTTTCTCCTTTTGAAACACACTTTTTCCTTTTTTAATACAATCACTTGCAGATTCTTTACAACTTGACCATGATGCATGCCGGAATCTTGACTCCATGATTGTTCCTTGTTGTGGAGAACTGAGGGAACTGAAGGGTGGACACTATGATAAAGTTGTAGAGATCACAGATAATGCAGGAAAAACCCTCCTAAATGACTACACGGTAAGCTTCCTCATCCAACCTCCATATATGATATACATCTGTTATCTGGCTAAACTGCTGCTCACGTTTTGCTTAAAAGGAGGAAAACCTAGCAGTCAATGTGGCTCCGTGTTCTAAAAAGCATTTAGCGCTGTTAGGTGGTTGAGCAACCTTCTAGTGCTCTATGCAGTTTGTGGTTTAAGCATCGAGTGGTTTATTTTTATACATAAACATGTGGAAGTTAAACTTTGTATATTATATTATGTTTGACGGAGTTTCATATTAGTTGATTAAATTTTTTTCTTCCGTAATCAGAATTTCCAACACCTCACTTTTTTACTTCTATAGGTTTAAGGCAATAATCTCAAACTCACCTAGTTCACATTTAATGCCTAGGATGGAGCTTTTTTAGAACATAGCCACTAGGCTTGCCTTGCAGCATCGAGCTTGTGTAATCCTAATCTTCGTTCTTGTGCACCCACTTACAATCTTTTCTATAGGAAATGAGATCATCTCCCATGTTTGTTTCTTCCAAAGAGACTTCATCTCTTCTTCTATAACAGCCAACAAAAACTCACTATTGCTATTCTTAATAGCTTCCTTGAAGAGATCGACATCGATCACATAACCTCCTTGTTGATTATGAACTACGAATCCTGTAAATACTAGAGCCTTTGTTGCATTTCCCAAGAATATTACCTTCTTGGCTCTTGCTTCAAGCTTTCCCTCATTTGACTTATATGCTGGATCGTGAATGGAAAACACTTTCCAAATACTATATTTCAACCCTTATAAAATGCCTTAGGTTAAGATAAACCACAAGGGTTTGTGTATTGATTTGATATGTAACCTAATTACAATTGGTCTCTATATATAAAGATACTAATTACATAGGAGTGCCCTCTACATTATACTAATTGCACTTAAGTACATTTAGTCTAATACGCCCCACAAGTTAAGGACGAGTAACGACCTTAGCTTGGATCATAAGAATAGAAATTTAGGAGTCGGCAATGGCTTCGTGAAAATATCAGCAATCTGCTCTTTTGTGGAAATGAATTATACTACACGAAGGTCTCCTTGAGCAATCTTTTCTCTGACGAAATGAAAATCAACTTCCACATGCTTTGTTCGTGCATGAAAGACCGGGTTGGCTGATAGGTTGCACCTAGATTGTCACACCACATGATAGGAGCTGATGGGGCACGAACGCCAAGTTCACGAAGGAGAGCTTGAAGCCAGGTAAGTTCAGCTACTGTATCAGCCAGAGCTTTATATTCCAACTCAGTAGAGGATCAAGAAACAATTGCGTTGTTTGTGAGCGGTGTAAGATACAATGTTAGAACCCAAATAGATGGCAAATCCCCCCGTGGACCGACGATCATCTAGACACCCAGCCCAATCAACATCAGAGAAGGCTTGGAGAGATTGATCAACATCGGAGAAAGCTTGGAGAGATAAAGTAGATGTCTGACGAATGAGTAAGCCACAATCAACAATCCCCCCAAGATAGCATAGAATCAGTTTGACTGCAGACCAATGTGATTTAGTAGGGGCATGCATGAACTGACACACTTTATATTAACTGCAAAAGCGATGTCTGTCCGAGAAAGAGTAACATAGTGAAGAGCACTAACGATCTGTTTGTATTTAACTGGGTCAGAAAAACCAGGACTGTCAGCTAAAAGATAACGAACTGGACGAGGTCATGGGGGAAGGTATGCTTCGAGTCTGAGAGGCCTGCTCGTCGTAAGAGCTGCAAGATGTACCTCTTTTGAGAAAGGATGATGTCTGGTCCTTGAGGGATGATCTTAATACCCAAGAAGTAGTTTATAGAGGGCCTAGATCCTTTATTGCAAAAGATGAGCCCAGTTGTTGAATGATGGCGTCAATAGCAACATTATTGTTTCCCTTGATGATGATGTCGTCAACATACACTAAGATGCATAGAAGAGTGCTAGCATGACTGGAAATAAACAGTGAAGGATCATCAGTCTTGGAGCCTACAAAGCCAAGGGTGAAGAGCCTTCGAAAGGCGCTGAAACCAAGCCATTGGGCCGTGGGCCTGCTTGAGGCCGTAAATGGACTTGTGGAGTAGACAAACATGATCTGATAGTTGTGGGTCATATAGACTGTTTCAGTAAGATGGCCATGATGAAGAAAATCATTTTGGACATCAAGTTGCCTGAGCGATCATTTCTGAGAAACCACAAACGATAAAACAACCCTAATGGTAGTGGTCTTGACAACAGGACTGAAGGTTTCGTGATCAATGCCATGTTGCCGAAAACCTTTTGTGACGAGTCTCGCTTTCTAACTAGTGATGACACTTGTCTTGTCTCATTTTATCCTGTAAACCCACTTACAATCAATAACATTAATATCATGAGCACGAGGAACTAGAGACCACCGTGCCGTTTTTAACAAGAGCGGAGTACTCCTCAGCCATAGCTTGACGCCACTCAGGAGATTTGTTGGCAATGGTAAACGAGATTGGTTCAATAGGTGTAGTGGAGGTGGTGGTAAGATTAGCTGAGAGATTGAAGGGAACGCGTTGTTTGGCGTTGGGCCGAAGGTTAGGACGACGTTGTCTAGGAGGCGGTTGTGGTGATGGAAAGGAGAAAGTGGATGATAATGGAGATGAACCACTAGTATTTGGATCATGGTGTAAAGGGGAAATAGGTTCAGGAAAAGACTGAGAGATGGGCATGGATCAGGTATTACAGGAGATGGAGCGACACGTGGAGTGCGGTTACCACGTGAGGTGATATCGAGGAGGTGTAGGGACAAGATGATGTAAGTGGTCTTCATTGAAGCGAACATGACAAGCAATGCATAAACGCTCGGTCGACAGGTCATGGCAACAATAGCCATCATGGAAAGGACTATAGCCAAGAAAGACGGAAGGGGTTGATTGAAAGTTTTTCTTGTGATGGTTGTACGGTCGAAGGTGAGGAAAGCATTGATAACCGAAGACCCGAATAGAGGAGTAATTGGATCATTTGTTGAGGCATGCGATTGATTAGGTACATAGCGGAATCGAAGGCGTAATTCCAGAAATGTTGAGGAACAATGGAGTGAGCAAGCAGAGTGAGACTAGTTTCAACGACATGTCGATTACATCGTTCCACGAAGCCGTTTTGCTCACTGGTGTGAGGACATGAACGATGATGAACAATGGCCAAGGGATATGAAGAAGAGAGATAGATTTCAAAATTCACCACCCCAGTTTGAACGTTTTTGACTTTTGTCGTAAATTGTCTTTCGACCATGGTAAGAAAACATTTGAAGGTGTTGTAGACATCTGATTTTTGAGCCAATGGATAGCATAAAGTAACGATGACCTTCAAAAGATAGAACAGGTGTAGGACCCAGACATCACAATAAACCAAATGAAAAATTTTATTACTTCGAAAGGAAGTAACAAGTAATGAATGTTTTGATAATTTGCCCATTTGACAGGACGTACAAAAAGGTAATGTCTTATTTGTAACAGGAATAGAAAATCTAGAAAGCATAAAATGAAAAGGACGCTGATGTGGATGACCGTGCCGCCTATGCCAAAATGGTAGAAGGTGCACGATGAGCAGCAAAAGCGATTTTATTGATAGACTTGAGTTGGGGTAGACGAACAGAGTAAAGACCATTCTCACTGGGGCCGTAAGCAGGGTAGTGCATAGACTTGTCCTTCACGACAAAAAAAAATTGAGTGAAATTCAAAGAAAACATTGTTATCTAAACAAAATTTCTGGACGGAAAGAAGATTTTTGGTGATTTCTGGAACGTGAAGAATGATGTGGTGAGTAAATGGTTGAAGTACCAATATGAAGTATAGGGAGCCCCATACCATTACCAACATGGAGAGTGTCACTACCATGAAAGCTTCAGAGTTATCCATGCTTGCTAAATTAGGCGTTGTTAAAAAAATTATAAAAATAATAAGAAAATGAACACCAAATAAAGATTTAATCTTTATATAATTTAATTATTTTATA